TTATGATGATATTGTTCAAAACCCAGGTCTGTAAATATGCAAAATATGTTCCCCATACAACCGTATTCTCCAACCAGCACCTGTCACAATAAAGTTGGGAGTCCAATCCCAAGAGACTGGAGGCATTTCCATTTAATTTTTATCCTCGACGAGGGCTGTTAGCGTCACAAATGGAAGTGCGAGAAAAGCTCTTGTTCCCTTAATTGAGTTTCTGGGGAATTCTATTTCCTTCTTCAGCGGTGCCGATATTTTAAATATCCACTACAAACTCTCTCTCTCTCTCTTGTAGACTTTACCCATTCTGTAGATACCCTTTTATAATCGCCTTTTTTTTTCTTATCTACATACACTCCTTTTTTTTCGGGTAAGGTTTTTTTGTGTGTGTTGGCTTTTTATCGCCGTTATTTTTTGGAACTTTAAATTTTGTTTTAATTTATTAATGATAATAAGCTTTAAAGATATAATGTACATTTTTATTCTTAAATATAATATATAAATGCTGAAGATGAATTCCAAATGCCTTGTAATTAAGCCTAGAATTTAATGGAATGTTTCTTAAAATTTCAGAAATAGTTTGATGAACTTGTGATATCTTCCCTATGTGATGAAATTTAAAAAAAAAGTATATAAACTATATTACAGTTAGACCTGTCTATAACCCCCCTCTTGGGACTCACCAAAATAGGGTGCTATAGAGAGGAGGTGATATAGACAGGTCACTTTTAATGTAAAATTTTTACATTTTAATGTTTAAAATCGGGGCGCTTTAAAGAGGAAGGCGCTATTTAGAGGGAACGCTATAGACAGGTTTAACTGTATATATATATATATATATATATATATATATAAGCATATAGGGCGCCTCTCCCATCAAATTAAACTTCAAAACTAAATGCCATCTATTGATAAATTTCCTCCCGGTAAAATTTCTATTTACATATACAGTAGAACCTTCATGAGAAGACACTCTCGCTAGTAAGATATCTCTCTACAAAAAAGTTTTTATCGCCATAAAATACCATTTTTTACTAATTACAAACTCTACGGTAAGAGGATACCTCTCCCTAAAGGACACTTTGGCTCTGCAACTAGGTGTTGTCCTTCAGAGAGAGGTAGTTCTAGTGTAGCAACTCTCCGGTAAGAGGACACCTCTCCCTAAAGGACACTTTGGCTCTGCAACTAGGTGTTGTCCTTCAGAGAGAGGTAGTTCTACTGTAGCAACTCTCCGGTAAGAGGACACCTCTCTCCCTAAAGGACACTTTGGCTCTACAACTAGGTGTTGTCCTTTAGAGTGAGGTAGTTCTACTGTAGCAACTCTCTGGTAAGAGGACACCTCTCCCTAAAGGACACTTTGGCTCTACAACTAGGTGTTGTCCTTTACAGAGAGGTAGTTCTACTGTAGCAGATCTTTGGTAAGAGGACACCTCTCCCTAAAGGACACTTTGGCTCTACAACTAGGTGTTGTCTTTAGAGAAAGGTAGTTCTACTGTAGCAGCTCTCTGGTAAGAGGACACCTCTCTCTAAAGGACACTTTAGCTCTGCGACTAGGTTTCCTTTACAGGGAGGTTCTACTGTAGCAGATCTCTGGTAAGAGGACACCTCTCCCTAAAGGACACTTTGGCTCTACAACTAGGTGTTGTCTTTACAGAGAGATAGTTCTACTGTAGCAGCTCTCTGGTAAGAGGACACCTCTCCCTAAAGGACACTTTGGCTCTACAACTAGGTGTTGTCCTTTAGAGTGAGGTAGTTCTACTGTAGCAACTCTCTGGTAAGAGGACACCTCTCCCTAAAGGACACTTTGGCTCTACAACTAGGTGTTGTCCTTTACAGAGAGGTAGTTCTACTGTAGCAGATCTTTGGTAAGAGGACACCTCTCCCTAAAGGACACTTTGGCTCTACAACTAGGTGTTGTCTTTAGAGAAAGGTAGTTCTACTGTAGCAGCTCTCTGGTAAGAGGACACCTCTCTCTAAAGGACACTTTAGCTCTGCGACTAGGTTTCCTTTACAGGGAGGTTCTACTGTAGCAGATCTCTGGTAAGAGGACACCTCTCCCTAAAGGACACTTTGGCTCTACAACTAGGTGTTGTCCTTTAGAGAGAGATAGTTCTACTGTAGCAGCTCTCTGGTAAGAGGACACCTCTCCCTAAAGGACACTTTGGCTCTACAACTAGGTGTTGTCCTTTAGAGAGAGATAGTTCTACTGTAGCAGCTCTCTGGTAAGAGGACACCTCTCCCTAAAGGACACTTTGGCTCTACAACTAGGTGTTGTCCTTTAGAGAGAGATAGTTCTACTGTAGCAGTCTCTGGTAAGAGGACACCTCTCCCTAAAGGACACTTTGGCTCTACAACTAGGTGTTGTCCTTTAGAGAGAGATAGTTCTACTGTAGCAGCTCTCTGGTAAGAGGACACCTCTCTCTAAAGGACACTTTGGCTCTACAACTAGGTGTTGTCCTTTAGAGAGAGGTAGTTCTACTGTAGCAGATCTCTGGTAAGAGGACACCTCTCCCTAAAGGACACTTTGGCTCTACAACTAGGTGTTGTCCTTTAGAGAGAGGTAGTTCTACTGTAGTAACTCTCTGGTAAGAGGACACCTCTCCCTAAAGGACACTTTGTCTCTGCAACTAGGTGTTGTCCTTTAGAGAGAGGTAGTTCTACTGTAGCAGTCTCTGGTAAGAGGACACCTCTCTCTAAAGGACACTTTGTCTCTGCAACTAGGTGTTGTCCTTTAGAGAGAGGTAGTTCTACTGTAGCAACTCTCTGGTAAGAGGACATCTTTCCCTAAAGGTCATTTTGGCTCCGAGACTAGGTGTCCTTTACAGGGAGGTTCTACTGTAGCAACTCTCTGGTAAGAGGACACCTCTCTCTAAAGGACAATTTGGCTCTACAACTAGGTGTTGTCCTTTAGAGAGAGGTAGTTCTACTGTAGCAGCTCTCTGGTAAGAGGACACCTCTCCCTAAAGGACACTTTGGCTCTACAACTAGGTGTTGTCTTTAGAGAGAGGTAGTTCTACTGTAGCAACTATCTGGTAAGAGGACACCTCTCCCTAAAGGACACTTTAGCTCTGCGACTAGGTTTCCTTTACAGGGAGGTAGTTCTACTGTAGCAACTATCTGGTAAGAGGACACCTCTCCCTAAAGGACACTTCGACTCTGCGACTAGGTTTCCTTTACAGGGAGGTTCTACTGTATATTATTTTTAAATATGTAACAAAAGAGACACCTCTCCTTTTAAAAAATACATTAAAATTATGCATTGTGTTTATCATCTCATTACAAAACGTAAAAATGATAATAAAGAACAGCAAAAATTTTGTCTAATTCTTTCTTTATCATCATTATTACCGTTTGAACTGGGTAGTAAGTCAAATTCAATGTTTTAATAAAATTTTTAAATTAAGAGGTACTTCTTTTGGTGCAATATATATAATATATAATGTGAAATAAATAAGTTTATAAGAAATATTTGATAATTTAAAGACTAAAATGAAGATATAGAGTGTGATTTTTAAAAATTAAAAAAAAACATCTTTCTAAATATATTTATTAAAAATGTTACATAAGATCTTTAATATTATTATTTTTTGTTAATCCTTTCGAAAAATTCCAAACGACTTATTTACACATTGATGATGATAAAGTGGTCAGTGAATTAAAATAATGGAGGCTCTTATACTTTGAATCTTTTCAGAAGTTTATTGGTAAATTCACCATAGCTAACTTCTATAGAATATTAAAACCAAAATCTTTGTAAGAAATATTTCTTTTTCACTTTTTTTTTTCTTGAAACTTGAGATTTTTCCCTCCTTTTATTTAGACATTTTCCTAAAGGCACGCTAAAAATGTTGTGTTTTTTTCTCTCTCTTGCCTAGTTTTTTTTTTCTCCGTAAAAATCTGAACAAAATATTTATTAGGAAAATATATTAGTAATTTTATTCCCCCTCCAAAATTTTTCACCTTTCCTCTTTTCTCTTCTGAATATTTTTTAAAATGTTTTTTAATATGTTAGAAAATATGATTAAGGAATATAAATTGAATGGGTGTATATTTTGAGAAAGATTTTTTTTTCTTTTATAAATGTAAATTGTGAATTTGATCATCTTTCTTCTTTATAGGTATTTAATGTTATAATTATAGTACTTTTGTATGTGATATTCAGATTCAAGGAAAAAAAAAACAAAATTTTTTACTTATCTCAAGTGTACAACTGGCCATGGGGGTAGGTGGAAGGATGGTCTAAACCGTTGGTTTTCGACCTCTACGACCCGGGTTCGTTTCCCGTATTAGACACTTTTTTCTGATTGAAAAATACTCCAATGACCCCCGATTCTTGCAATTTTCCAACCCCACCAGCAAGTGCAAGTAACCAAACGGAGCTCTGAACACTTGTAAGTGTAAAGTCGAACTGCTTTTCACATGTGTAGACATGTGGTGTACTTACAGTAAAAGCAGTAGCCAATTTCTACCCACCATGATTATAATGGCCTGTAACACGTGTACTAGGGATAAGCAAAAAAAAACTGGCCATGATAAGCATAGTAAGCCAGTGACTGCTTTTACTGTAAGTGCACTCATCATATGTCTACACATGTAGAACGCAGTTTGACTTTTGCACTTACCAGAAATAGTACAAATCAACTTTGATAAATACACTCACAGGTGGATTTGAACTTTTTGAAGAATCGTTAGCCCTATTGAAGAATTTATTTTCTTCTCAAAAAAGGTGTCTTGTGCAGGATTCGATTCCGGACCATAATTGTCGAAAATTAATGCTATGTACGACTTCTTTATCAAATCCGAAACGTATTAGAATATAGGAAAACCTCTTTTGAACGGCCTTTCTGGTGAGTGATTATCTCCAATAAGCGACCACCTATGTAAACTCGAAATTAATTTGTTTGCAACCAACCTTCAAAAAGAGACCATCTCCAAGAGAGACCAGAACTTTCAAAAATTCAAATTACTCATTATACTTATTTATCTGTTATCTACTCTACTTTAAACCCTCGATAGCTCAGTTGGCAGGACTGTAGAGTTTCAACGGTGATCCTTAGGTCACTGGTTCAAATCCGGCTCGAGGGACTTTTTTTTTTAAGAAGGAGTACTCTACTACCATTATTGAAAATAGTTTCACGCGCAATTATCCAGATCTGATATAGCGTGTCTTATTTGTAGCTGGTAATAAATTAATAAATACTTATTTATAATACAATATAATGCGGCTTATGATTGTAGAACGACATTGGAAAATTATCCCGCATGTGTTTCTTTTAAACGAAAAATCGAAATTTATTTTAAGGAGAAATAACGATTATTTCTAACCTTAGGGATAAAGCATGAATTATGAAGAGTAATAACCTTGGCATTTTTAAATAGCTTTCACCCCCTCTTAAAATTCACAACTGAAAATGAATCTAATGGCTACCTACCCTTTTTAGATATACTTTTCGAAAATAAATTAAATTATCTTCAAACCACTGTTTTTTGAAAACCTAGTCACTCACCAGTATACCTCCATGCCAACTCCTTTGGTCCTATCTCCCATAAAATTTCCCTTGTAAAAACTCTCACCAAGCGTGCCTTCACACATTGCTCCACTGATAAACTTAAATATATAGAATTGAACACACACACACACACACTATCCAGGAAGAATTAATATCAAATGGATATACAAAGGAATTCATCAAAAAACATTCGTATAAAATTAATAGCTTTCATAGTAAAAAAGAATTGAAAAATAAATGTATAATGCCATATGGAGCAGGAGCTGAGAAAATAGCTCATATTTTAAAAAATTCTGGAATAACCACTGTTTTCAAAAATGCACCATCTTTAAAGACTATAGTCCGAAATACAATAACAAAACAGAAAGTGGAGATAGGGAACACAAAGGACGTTGTGTATAGGATCCCATGTAAAAGCTGCAATGTATCCTACATTGGAGAGACAGGCCGTTTCCTTGGGACCAGACTCCAAGAACACAAATCTTCTTGGAAGTATGCAAAAGAAAGGTTTGCCATGGTGGAGCATGGTCTCCGATCGGGACATCAGCCAGATTGGGAAAATACTTCCACTATTTACAGGGGCATCCAGAACTCGCACCAGAGGAAGTTCCTGGAGGCCATAGCATCAATGAAGGACCCTGCTAGTGTAAATAGATACGAAGAAATCCCCGAACCTTATTTGTCTCTTTTAACTTTTTTTTTTCTAATAATCGCAGTCAACTTAATTTGTTTCTTATTTTTATTTCCTTAAATTTTTGTTTCAAAAACATCAAAAAATACTGCATTACTAAAAAGCCTTTAATTTTCAAAATATTTTATTATATTATTATTATTATTAATTTTTTTTCTCATTATCAATAATTATTTTTGACCAATGACAAATTTGTTTCCATATGATGTACAATAATTTGTAAATTAAATTCACTGTGCAATAAATTGATAAAGAGGGAGCAATCTCTCGAAATATTTTAAGAAAAAAATTGTTTTTTTTTTTTCTTTTACAGATCCAGGTATGCCCTTTTATATAGTAAAAATAAAAGTTTCTATTTCAAATGTCGTTCTACAAATACTTATTTATTTATTATTTTCATGCGTAAATTTTAAAAAAGGCAGGTGTTGTATCTTTTATACGGGTTCATTTACCTTTAGCTTTATATATATTTAATATAGTTACAGCCTTTATGTATATAGACAATTAATATACCGCCGTGCTAGAACAATTATATATTTATTATGCGGCGTTGTTTACATACCGTGTTGCCAGATCTTTTGTAGCACAGATTATAACTATATACAACATGTTCCCCTTTTAATTAAAGTCCGGGGTCGAATCTTTTCGGAGGCTTTACCACACGTCCACTTCTAGTGGTGTAGGCAGTGCCTCCTTCATTGTAGTTTCCTATGGGAGTTGAAGTGGATGGGGCCAACTCTTCAGGACTGAGGTTCAGGCGGGGAAATTCTCCTGGTTCCCTTTGACCACTGGACTCCGATGATGTCGAGGGGGCTGGATCCAATTGGGGCGATGACTGGCTGCTCCTTCTCTGTCCAACAGGATAACTTCTGGGCCGTAGGTGAACTCTGTTCCGTTTTAACATTCGGCCCTCGTTGTTCTGAATGATGTATGATCGAGGCTGGTTGGCTTCTCCAATGATGGTAGCTGGTCTCCAGGCATTGCTAGTTTTGGCATTTACCTGTTCACCAGAACTCATTTTAGGAAGTAATTTGGCATTTCGGTCATAATATTCTTTCATCTTATATTGATTTTCCCTCTTCTGCTGTAGAATGTTTTCCGTGCTAATGAAAGCAGGTTTTAGCTTTGTGGTTTTCATTGGGATCAAGGTTCTCAAGTTTCTTCCCATTAGCATCTGAGCTGGGGACGGTAGATTATTTGACGGAGTTGTTCTCAGGGCTATTAAACACATATAAGGATCAGTGTTGTCTTGACGGCATTTCTTAAGTTGCTTCTTTACTGTTTGCACCATCCTCTCCACTAATCCGTTTGATTTTGGGTATCCTGGGCTAGAGGTTTTATGTTCTATGTCCCATTCATTTGTAAAATTAGTAAAGTCTTGTGATGTAAATGGTGGTCCATTATCAGTGATGATGATCTCTGGAATCCCATGTCTTGCGAAGGTAGATTTCAAAACTGGTAGAATCTCTTTTGCTGAAGTTGATGCTACCTTGATGACTTCAGGAAAGCTGCTGTAGTAGTCTACTATTATTATGAATACAGATTGGTCTAGATAGAAGAAATCAATAGCTACTTTTTGCCAAGGGTAGTCTGCTATTTCGTGAGGTATAAGTGGTTCTTTCCTTTGCGAAGGTTGTGCATTTTCTCTCAGGATCACAGAATGCTCTCCAGGGAGTGTTCCGATCTCATCAAAGACATCTCTGTAGGACTCTATTATCTTTGTAGGTGAAGCATCCATCTTTGTCCTAGTATGGTCCTGTTCCAACGACTCTACTTTTAATATCAGCTCTAATTTTTTACACGCTGCCAATCCCAAAATTGGTGGAGCTGGCAAATCCACGACTAGAAATTCAAGGATTTCAGATTTTTTCCCAGAGGTACATGAAGCCTTGCATTTGCCCCTTATTGGTACTTTTTCTCCTGTATATGAATAAACCGCAATCCCAGTTGGGTATATGCAGGGTTTATTTTGCCAATTTTTAATGGTATCCAATGGCAGGATGTTCACCTGTGCTCCTGTGTCTAATTAAAATTAACTGAATTATTCTCTACCAAGATTATTTTAGTCCACTCTAGACCAGTAATGCTATCTAGGGATAGGTATTGAAGACACATTTCTTCTTCCTCTTCAGCTCTTTCCTCCAACATATGCACTCTGTTCCTACACATTTTAGCAAAATGGTTTGGTTTTTTACATGAATTGCATATTTTACCATATGCAAAACATTTACCATATGGATGTCTGGAACCACAATTTTGGCAAACCTTTGCCTTAGGATGTTCCTCAGATACATTAGGTTTTCTACCAACTGGATATTTGAAATTCTTTTTATATTGCTTTTTATATTTTATAGAATGTAAATCAACATCTTCTCTAGTTATATTTTTTACTTGTTGTCTAGAAGTTTCAGTAGCTCTTCCCAAGTCTATGGCTTTAGCTAAAGAAAGATCAGGATCTTGTAGCATCCTTTCTTTTAAAGCTTTGTCTTTAATTCCAATTATAATTCTATCTCTGACCAAGGAATCTGCAAGCTCTCCAAATTCGCAGTCCATGCTTTTATTTTTCAATTCAGTTACATAGTCATCAAAATTCTGATTCTCCCCTTGTTCCGTTGTAAAAAACTGGTACCTCTTATAGGTTGTGTTTTTATATGGTTTAAAGTGTCCATCAAACAGTTCAAGTATATCCGGAACAGTCGGAGAGGCATCAGTTTCTTGTATTTTAAATGTAGAGTATATATCTAGGGCTAACTCACCAATATTATAGAGTAGAATAGCCCTTTGTCTTGGAATAGATTTTTTATCTATTTCTGTGGCTATGTAAAACATTTGGAATCTCTTTTTCCATTTACCCCATGCTTCTGATGGGTTTGTTCCAGGCACAAATGGCTGCAAACTATTCCCGGTACTCGAGGCCATTTTTCAACGTGTTAGGCTTAATTGATATTTGAAATTTTACTTATCTTTCAAAATCCCGGCGCTGCCACCATGTTGTATCTTTTATACGGGTTCATTTACCTTTAGCTTTATATATATTTAATATAGTTACAGCCTTTATGTATATAGACAATTAATATACCGCCGTGCTAGAACAATTATATATTTATTATGCGGCGTTGTTTACATACCGTGTTGCCAGATCTTTTGTAGCACAGATTATAACTATATACAACAGCAGGAACGAATCACTTAATAACAAAAATATATCTATGTGAAAAATAATGAACAAAAAAGCTAATTTAAATTAATATAGGCCCCGTTCTCTTTGAGAAAGAAAAGAAAATAATCTTGAAGGACTTAAAACATGTTTTTAAGTAATTTTTATTTATAATAAATATATTTATATATTCATCTCCCTTTTTCGTTTTTTCAGGCATTAAAAATACAATTATCAAAACCTTCATATTAAATATTTGTTTTTTTATTACGCTTCTCAAATTTCTTTTAATATAATAAGCAGCATAATTTTTAGGCTAATAATTTTTTCTTCTAAATATTAAAAAAAAAGGATATGCATAATTATATATTTTTTAAAATTAACTCTAGTAACAAGTGCCTCTCAAAAATCCATTGCTGTAAGAAATTATCTAATAAATTAATAACTTTTTTAAAAAATAGTTTTCTTTAAAAAAAATGAAGTAATTAATGAATATGTATATAAACAATTACTTTGCGCATTAATTTAATAAATATATGAGAATTTAATAGAAAAAGAGTGTTTTTATTTAATTCATTGATTACCTTTTTTTTTTATTTTTATAAAAAAAGTCAATAAAAACCATCAGTAGCTAATGGCGCCATGTTGAAGCACCGATCGTCTGCCAGTTAACACCGCCATTGTGCGGCTTTGGAACCCAATCAGACGAACCTCCTAATTGTTCCCA